ATCCAAAAGAAGTCGACTCAGAGCCAAAATTGAGTCCAAAGGGATCAAGTCCAAGTCAAGACGAAATCCAGAAGATGTTTAATCGGGGTCAGAGAATGAATCCAAAACAAATCGAGTTAGAGTCGAGACTGAATCTAAAAGAGTTTGAATTTAAGTCGAGAATAAATCCAAAAGGAATCGAGTCAAAATTTAATCCAGTCCAGAAACTGAGAAGGGTCAAGAACAAGTCAAGCCTGAATCTAAAAGCTGTAGGGTCCGAGTCTAGACATGATCTAAAAGAGTTTGAGTTAGAATCAAGTCTGATTCCCCGTAGAAGTCGAGTCAGAGTCAAGATTGAATTCAGAATGGCTCTGGTACAAGTCAAGACTGAGTCTAAAAGGGTTTGAATTGAAGTCGAGACTAAATCTAAAAAGATTTGAGTCAAGACTGAATCCAAGTGTGGTTGAGACTTTGTTGAGACTGAATACGAAAGGATTCAAGTTCATGCTCAGAACGAATTCAAAAGGTTTTGAGTCCGAGTCAAGACGTGATCTAAAAGATGTTGAGTCAAGACTGAGAGTGACTGATTCAGAATCAGGACCTGATCCAAAAGCGGTCAAGTCAGAGTAAAGACTGAATCCATAAGGGATCGTGTTAATGTCAAACTGAATCCAAAAGATGTCGAGTCCGAGTCCAAGTCAATCCCAAAGGGGTCCAAGTTGACACTGAATCCCGACTTGGTCCAGAGAAGAACAGACGTAACTCATTCATCCTCATTAACTACATTACATAAAAAGACCATAAAAGTTTAACTAAAACTTATTAAAATATTAAATGAACAAGCTGACGATGAAACTTTGATGCAGTTCTTCTGTTCTGGGCCCACTGAGGACCGGATGTTCTGCTCTCCGGTTCACGCCCTGATTAGAACCCTAATCAGCCTCAACGTCTCAACCTTCAGCAAACATTTACACAAGTTTCAGACTCGCAGCCCGAGTTATATCCAGAGAAAACTCCATCAACATCGTTCTGGAAGAGAATAATCAGAACGTTTGGGATCATTTAAGTGAATTAGGCTCGTTTTTGGTTTAGAACAGTTCTACAGCAGTTCTGGGGTAGAAGTGATGGTATGAAGATTAAAAAACTACCTTGACATGTTTTTACTGGACTTGTTTCAAGGGGTTGTGACTCGGACTTGGTTCTGTCTCGATCTCCTGTTGTGCCTGTTGGGTCTAGATCTTGGGGTGTTTTGATTCCGATTTGTTTCGGGCCTCAGGGTTTTTGGCTCGGTTCTATCCTTGTCCTGGTTGTGACTGCTGAGTCTCAGTCTCTGGTTATTTGTCTCGGACTTGAACACCCCGAGACTGAGACTTGACAGTCACAACAGGGTTTACACAATAAGGACTTGAAATCCCAGATGGGGGACTGAGACTCATGAAATCCCCATGACAGAACCAAGTCCAAGTCGATACACCTTGAGGCCAAGACAAGTCACATTCAAAACACTTAAAGACCTGGACTTCAAACTCGTAGCAGCCGGCCAAGATTGAATCAGGACTGAGTCCAGTCACCTCAAGACGAGACTTAACGAGTCATCACAGTCAAAACACCTCGAGACTGAGACAAGTCCAAAGACAAGTCCAACTCAAAACATCCCAAGACCCACAAATTACAGCCCAAACATCTCGAGTGCAAAACTAGTCTAAGTCAAAGCATCCCAAGTCAGAATCCAGCCTGAGTTCAAACACCTTGAGGCAAGTCAGAGTCAAAACACCTCAAGACTGACTAAAATTTACATTCAATCTAAAGACCGAGTCATACCAGTCATGACATCAGCCAGAGAACGAGTCAAGTCCAAGTGAAAGCATCCTGAGACAAGACTTAGCACACGGAACCAAGATAGAACCGAATCCGAGTCTAAATATCCTCAGATGCCGACAAGTCGTAGGCCCCCGAAGACAGACACAAGACAGAGTCCACACACCTTGAGATAATGTTCAGAAGCTGCAACGGGGGGGCTGAAACTGAATCAGGTCCAAGTCCAACCACCGTGAGACCGGGACTAGTCCGGTTCAAAGTATCTCAAGATCAAGTCCAGCCTGAACACCTGGAAACACCTGGAGACCGAGACACAAGGGCCTGACAGGGGACAGAGAATGTGTCCAGTACGAGTTCAGCCCTCCTGAGACAAGACTTTGTCACAACAGGGAACAAGATAGAACCAAGTCCGAGTCAAAACATCCCAAGACCGAGACAAGCCATAGTCTGAACACCTTCAGACCCAGTTCTCAGAATTTGCGACAATAGAGCTAAAACTGAACCGGGTCCAAAGCAAAACACTCCCGAGACCAACCCGAGTCAAAGTGTCCCAAAGCGGAGACGAGTCAGAGTCAAGACACCTGGAGACAGAGTTCAGCTCAAGTTAAAACACCCTGAGACACAAATCCGAGTCCAAACCCTTCAAGTTCGAGACACAACAGTCATTAGAGTCCCAACACGAGACCAACATCGGTCCAAGATACGACAACAAAACATCTCAGGACGCCGCAGGATCAGTTTTTTAACTCTAACCTCCTTTAGCGGACAATTTGAAGCAACGCTGACAACAATACGAGCAAACATGGAGCTCTTCAACCGTCGCCTCGAGTCGGAATCAGAAGCAGTTCTTGTGAAACATGAAGTCCAGCGGCAGACGGATTCCAACACGGCAGCATTGTTGTCCTCTAGAAACCAGTCACGTGTGTCTGAAAACACTCCTCGTGTTTCTTTGACATGAAAAGCTGCCAAACACAGCAGCAGCCGAGCGTCTGAGTCACTCCGTCGCTCTGAAAGCTGCCCGACAGGCCGAAGGGTGAAGGTGTCACTGCAGGAGGCTCTCTGCCTCTGTGAGGACCGGCCGGAGCTTCGACCTTGGAGAGGACGGTTCAGTCGGACCGTGGACCGAGCCGCTCCAGGTCCGGCTCCGGGTCCAGCTCCAGGTCCGGCTCCGGGTCCGGCTCCAGGTCCGGCTCCGGGTCCAGCTCCAGGTTAGAGTTTAAATGTGAGGGTTCAGCTTCAGGAGTCCTCTTAGAGATGGAGATATAATGTGTGTCAGCCGGCAGAAAGTGTGTGTTTGGTCTGACATTGTCGGCAGGATGACTCAAGCCGACCAACACACTTCAAAGGACACGACACCGACTCGCATTCATCTGTCGGAGACGCTCTGCGGCTTTAACCCCTGAACAGCTTCACATCGTCTACCACAGCAAGACATTCAGATCGAGTAACGCTGATCAGAAACACACACCAGCTCCTACCTGGATGAACAGGACGCCTTTATGCTCTGAACATCCTCAGCTACAGACGCTTTAGGTTCATAGAGGTGGGTCAAGGTTTATGCTTTTAATTTATGCTGTTTCTTCTGAGTCTCATAACTTTATAAGTACACAGACTAAAGAATGATAAAAAAAACCCACAAAATGTCCAGAGAGATAGAAGACGACCACAAAGAAACACAAAATAAGCACAAGGAGATGGAAAAACAACCACAACGGGACACAAAATCATGCAAAATGATCATGAAGAGGAGGAAAATCCCTGAAAAATCTACAAAATAATCACAAACAGAAGCAAAGCGACCAGTCGATATGTTTTCATGAACCCTGTGAACGTGTTCGGGTCGTTTCATGAAGCCTAACCAGGTCACAGCGAGTTAATCTGCTGCTAACTAGCAGCTGGTTACATGTGTTCAGGTTCATCTGCAGGTCGAGTCCCTCTGATCAGCTGATCAACTCGTTTATTTTATCAGCTGATCGGCTCCAGTGCAGCTCTGATCCCAGGTCAGTCTGAGATCAGATGATTTACTTCATGGAGGCTTCTTGTTGTTGTTGTTGTTGTGTGTCCTCACAATGTGACTGTGTCAACATATTTCTGTCAACGCACACACACACACACACACACACACACACACACACACACGACGACCTCGGTGAAAGTCAAACACACGACACTCAACCTGTCAGACTGCATCACTCTGCAGCCGACAAACACTGGTACACACTGCCATGTGTCTGGGACGAATAGACGCACACACACACACACACACACACACACAAACGACCGGAAAACACACAAAATGACCAGAAAGAGATGCAAAATAAACAGACACAAAATGACACAAAAAAACCCCCAAAATGACCACAAAATAACACAAAATCAACATAAAAATACACTAAATGAACACAAAATGTGACCACAATGAGACACAACAGTTTTCTAAAAACATATGCTGCTAAATGACCACAAACAGACACAAACTGAACACAGTGACACAAAATGACACAAACTGAACACAGTGACACAAAATGACACAAATCGACTCCAAAGAGACGAGTGTTGTCGGTCTTTCGGCTCACTTCCTGTCAGACGTTCCTGCTTCAGCAGCGATGTGAGGAACCAAGACAAAGAGCAGCAGATGAAGCTCAGCAGCTGGACTCCTTCTTCTGCATTAACATGAGCAGCATGTTGTGATGCTGCAGACGCACAATATCTGACAAACTCCTGCAGGAATCAGGCTCTTATATCAGCCCTCTGGAGACTCTCTGAGCATCTGTTCGATCTGGTTCTGTTCAGTCTTTACGGCCGTTCTGAAGGACTTTAGCCACAACACAGCAAATTATGTATACGTGCCCACATAGGTCGGGCACAGGAAGCCACACCGG